AGGAGAAGGATGGCACAGCGCTTCGACGACTTGTTATCACCGAGGAAGAGAAAGCGAGGGTCTTCAAAGAGTGCCACTCTGCTCCTTTCTCTGGACACGCTGGCCGCGATAATACTTTTGCACCCAGTGAAGGTTGTTACCATGGTGTGGTACTTGGTCGGAATTGATTTAATAGAAGCCCCTACTACATCTCAAAACGGCAACAGAATTCTTCTGTCCCGTACGTAGGTGCAAGAGGCCTCTGTATAAATTGTGGGACAACCTTTCGTGTGTCAAGTAGCGCTGCGGGGTTAAGTTGTACAGGCCTCAAATGTCATGCATACTATGAATTGAACACCGCAAAACGCAGTTTTATTCATGTTTGTCTTTTGATTGCTTTGTTTAGTATTCTTGTTTTTGGCTGTTTGGAATCAGACGATCGCAGCTGCCGGCGATTGCGGCATTGCTCGCTTTTAAACAGTTCTATTAAATAAAATTGAAGCTTTGCAAACAATGAAGCGTTGTACAGTGAAGCGATGTTATGCGGTTGTAAATTTTAGTTTCGTCATGTTTTGAGCCAACTTTTACTGCATATGGGTTTTTTTTCTTCGCAATAAACCCGGCGAAAAGTGTCAGACGATATAATTCTAACATGCATCTACACTATTCAGCCGTAAATTCGTGATTAACAAATCCGACTTTTCCCCAGTCTGAAATAATTTAGGCAAAGTCGAAGCGATCAGCGTTTTGGGCATCCCCCACCGGGGATGCCCAAAACGCTAGGGATATGGGAATGGGGATGCCCAAAACGCGGGGATGCCCAAAACGCTGTGACAGCGCCCCACCTGCAAAGCCAGGGCAAAGCGCCCTGGGGACGAGGTTGCTTCATGTGAGGTAAATAAATTCCATTTTCCGCATTATTTTCAGGAGAACCTTAAACAGCGACGTTTTTGAGCGACGCACGTCAGCTGGAAGTAGACTTTTTGCACACTTGGGCCTTTATTTTGAAAAAAATTTTGGGCAACTCGTCTCTTTAAAAGTAAAAACACTTAGCAGTACAAATTTGGTGGTGCCAAGGCATATTAAAAAGAAAAAGGCTTACTTCTGGTTGACGAGCGTCGCTCAAAAATTTCCCTGCTTAAACTCCCTATTGACTTCGAATGTGAGGCCTGTGAATGGAACTCCGATTATGGTAATCACCGGAATGAGATTATAATTGTTTTTGATTGGTATGAAAGACACAGGGGTGTGCGCTTGAATAAAAATTAAGGGAAATATTTTTGACGTTCATCCCTAACAAGGTTTGACAACCTAGGAGCGTAGCTAGGACTTTCAAAGGGGGGGAGGAGTCACACTGTGTCACACCCAGGATATTTACCAGATTGGCATGTCGACACCCAGGTAATGGTGTTTTAATAAAAGTGTCATTTTTTTCGGATGAGCATCGCGCGTGTTGGGGGGGACAACCCTACAAGATAGCTGCATAGATTAAATAATCTCCCCTGGTCTGAATTACTCTGTTTTAGTTACAAACAAAAACATAGTTCACTGCAGATGGTCGGTCCTGCAAATGGGGTAAGTAACTACCTAGCACTGGGAAAGATTTATTGCGCATTGATTCTTCAGATTCGCGCGTTTCGGCCACCTGAATTACGGGGACATAAAACAATTATCTCACAAAGGTGAGGGGGGGGGGTGGGTCACGGGCACCCCAGGACCAACCCACAGCTACGCCTCAGCAACCTGGTGTAAAAAAGAGTACAAAACGACATATTGAGTTAGGAGAATTCCCCCTGCCGTGGTTTCATGAAGACAAGATTTTTAAAAAAAGCCCATTTTCTCTAAAATAATGTGTTTGCGCATACTCGTTTTCCTTATCGTTATTTTTTGGAAAATATTGAAGGACTTAACTCTTCTGAAAAAAAAAAACAAAATGGATGTTCAAAAAAGCGAAATTAAGATCGACTTAAAAATGTTTTCTCAGGAGGCTACGCTAGTCATAACTCTTGACTTTTCGCGAGACCTCCCCAGTGGTGGAGGCGGGTGAGGGGGCTGCTTATTCGCAGGCTATACTCATTTGAACAAGTACAGACCTTTAGACGAGTCCGACTACGAGTACGAGATTTTCTCAGTACTAAGTGCGCGCGCGAGAACCAGCGTTATTTTTGCGGGAAAACGTGGAAGCCGTCGTCATTCCACTACGACTTTTAGCTAGAATGTCGAAGTAGCGGAAATAAGTTATCAAATGTTAAAAGTTTTATCATTTTTCGATCGGGAGAGGGTGTAAACCTCCTTCATTAAAAAACGGTGCTAACTTTTCTAGTACAAAATGGAAAAATGAAGCTTTCCCGGGAGTCTATAATTTAAGAATACGCGGAAAAACTTTAAGTCAAATCTCGTACCCGTAGTCGTTCTCTTCCTTGAATCTAGAAGTCTCTACTTTTTTTTTTCGGTCAACACAACACTAACTGCCAGATTGCCAAAACGTTTATTAATTCTGTACCAGCAAAAAGTACAGTTACCTTCCTCGCCTATGAATTTGCTCCAGCTGGGATTACATGTAGAAAATTCGGTTATAGTTTTATTGTTTCTTGCCAACAAATTCACTGTAAGTAAACTTAAGAAAGAATAGGGATATTGATATCATAAACGATAATCTACATCTACGATTTTTCTGACAAACTATTGGATCTAGTTGCAAGATTTCAAAATAGGGACAAATGCCCGCCTCAAACGTCGTTTTCCTTTCTTGATATTCAAGTTCATGCGAAAAATATTTAACTTATCTAACTAGTCAGTAAAGGAGTGCAGCTGAACTGGTGCACTATGGATAACGTCGCGCTTAAAAAAAAGGACGCTGCAAAATCTAACTCGAACGCTGATTGGTCCGTTCTGGCCGTTAGAAAAATTGACGCTAATTGGCTTGTAAAGGAAGAGACTCCTTTACTATTTTAAATCTCTATTAAATGCTGGATTTTGTTTTAGATTATTTCTGAATTTGTTTGAAAAGTTGCATCAAAGTTATCCAACGTTATAGTACTGGCAGTACATAAAGTAAGCAAAATAGCAAATGAATAATGAATACGAACTTCACGCTATACCCGAAGCAGACAAATCCCTCGGCTTTCAGGCCACTGTTTATAATAAAGCCAGCATTCAACTCTCTGAGGCTATGTGTAGTAAGGGTTAGATTTCACTTGATAGCATATTGGTACTCAGCCCTGCCCCTAAATAATTCGGCACTTAAACGTTTCTTATAACTGTTGCATGCACTTGTTCTAATGATCAATAAGGTAAATGTCTATGCTAGTAAAGGGTAAGCAAATTGTTCTTTCTTGTAGCTGCTTTAGGGATCTAGCTTTGCTGGCATTCAGCACGGTTACGTTCCTTTCCACGGTCTGTTGAACGTCGCTCTCGGTCCCGATAACTGGGCCTCTCGGATTCTCTGTCATTGGAGCTTTCATTTGCTCTGTCTTTGTCTCGAGTACTGTAGCGGTCCCGATCAGATCCATAGCGGTCAGACTCTCTCCTTCCACGCCTTGTCCCTTGTTCCTCTTCCACTGGAGTGCTGCTTCGGAACACAGAGTCATAATCACGCTCGGACTCCACAGGCCTACTCTCTACGACATCTATTTTTTCACCAACGTGATCTTTATGTTCACTGCTCCTCTTTCCTCGGCCACGCGAGATCTCTCTTCCTAGTTTTTCTCCCAGCTCAGAGTGCTCAAGGTCACTTGATCCCGATACATCACCGTTTGGTAGGCTGCTTTCGCTTGAAGAGCGGTTTGATCCAGGTCTGTTCATTAGTCCGTCTTGGTAACTCAACATCATTTTGTATTCCCGCGGTCTTGAACCCTTCCGATCCAGAATTAGGGTGGTGGAGGCCTGGTCACTAGGTACTGAGGTCGCCAGCTGGTCCCGCAGTTGCTGCATCTGTTTTTCATTCTTTTTAATGAGGTCATCTTTGTCTTTAATCTTGTTCTTCAGAATTTCTATCTCGGCCTCTAGCTCAGCTGTTTTTACCTTGTTGTAGTTCATCTCTTCTAGCAACTTATTATCCAGCCTGTTCTTATCGTCTCGTAATGATTTGATCTCCTTCTGTAGTTCGTCATTCTTCTTCTGAAAGTCAGCAAGGGTGGATTTGGCGGCATCATATTCTTCTTTCAAACGTTCTAGCTGCATTTGAGCGTCCATCTTATCCTTTTGAAGGTCTTCAATTTTCGCATCTTTTTCCTCGATTTCTTTTTTGTATAATTCGCTGTGACCTCCATAAAGTGCCGTAATCTGCACGGCTAACTGCTTGTTATTATCTTCAAACCTATTATTGTACTCATCCAGTTGCTCCTTCAAGTCAAGAATCTCTTTCTTGGCGTCGTCCAGGTTTTTCTGAAGTTTCTTGTTCCTCTCACTCAAGGCATTGTTCTCTCTAATTAGTTGTTTCTCTTTCTCTGGATCCATTCCTCCCTTTCCGCTTCCCACCATATCTTCCAGTTCTTGAATCTCTTTTTCAAGGTCCTCAATTTTTTTGTTTTCAATCTTGACTTCATTTTCCAGTTGTGTTACCCTGGCGTGTAAATCTTTGTTTTCATTGCGCAGATCTCTGTTCTTTTCCAGCAAGTCGTCATTTTCGTCTTTCAGTGATGATAGCTGGCTCTCTTCTCTTTGAATTTTTCTTTCTTGCTCAGCGACCTTTTCTGCCAATTCTCTTATCTTCCTTTCTCTCTCATTTTGAAAGTCTCGAGATGGTCTTCTCTTCGTAATACCAACATCACTGGCTCTCTTCAGTTCTCTTTCCAGATCTGCTTTCTCCTTGTTAAGTTTCTGCAACCTTTGCTCTAGATCCTTGTTTTCGTCTTTAAGTTCGTCGTTCTCTGTCTGAAGTTTGTCCTTTTGGTCCTGGAGGTTGTCCATCTCGTCACGTAGGTGATCATTGTTTTGGTTTGCGATCTGAATTTCATGATGAAGGTGGTCCCGCTCTGCGTCCAGCTTCTCAATTTCTGCCTCTTCTTCTTTGAGTCTTTGTCTAGCCTTTGACAAGTCATCTTGAAGCCTGCTATTAGTGTTCTGGAAGTCTTCAAGCTCCTTATTCAACATTCCGACCTGTTCCTTCGCGGCATCTATCTCTATTTTCAGCGAATCGTTGTCTCTCTTTACTCCATCCACGTCATCATCGAAACTCATCGGGAGAGCACTCTCTACCTCAGATACTGTCTGCACAGGAATGATGTCAATCTGTCTACTGAGGCTGTCTTTTAGATCAGTATTCTCGTTTTGAGCATTTAACAACTCGTTACGGATCTTCTCGTAATCGTCTGTGGCTAGCTTGTGTCCAATCTCTAGTTCATGCAGTTTGACCTCTAGCTGTTGCAGTTCGAGCTTGAGTTCCTTGTTCTCCGTCGTTAATTTTCGATTTTCAGCCTTCACGTTGTGCAACTCATCCCTTAGCTCTTCAATGTCCTTCTCAAACTCATCCTTGTCTTCTTTCAAAGTGTTAACCTGGTGGACGAGATCCTTAATCTCTTCTAGGAGCTTGCCCTGAGATCCTTGTTGATCATGGTTTCCTTTTTTGAGCTGTCGCAACTCCTCCTTGAGTTTATCGTTCATGTTGGTCACTTCGCTCACCATCGTCCTTTCCTGCTCCTCTCTTGTTCTGAGAATATCCATATCGTGTTCGAGGGTCAAAACTTTGCTTTTTAACCTTTGGAGTTCTTTCAGAGCTTCAGCTTTTTCGTCGAGGGCATCCTGGAGTGCCTTCGAGTCTCCCCCAATGTCAATGTTGACTGAGTGCAGAGGAGCAGCATCAGTGTAATCCTCTTCCTCTAGCTCGGAAATTCTCTTATTAAGATCAGCAATTTCATCCTTTAAGTCGTCTATTTCGTTTGCCTGTGCTGTCTTGGTTTTCTCGAGCCTTTTGATCTCACTGTTGGCCCTCTGAAGTTCCTTATTCAGTTGGGCGTAATTTTCCTTACGCCACTCAAGCCATTTGTCTTTGTCTTCCTTGTGTCTATCTCGAGAAGCTTGGAGCTTGTTTTTCAGCTCAGATTCGCTGTTTTTCAACCGATTAACCTCGTCATTCAGGACATCTTTTTCTCTCTTCTGCTCGTTTAACTCGGTTTCTAGTCTTGCCAACTTGGTGCGATAAGCTGACATGTCGCTCTTTGCTTTCTCCTTCTCGCGAAGCGCGTCCTGGCAACTTGCCTCCAGTTCTTGATATTTCTTCCTGCTCACTACATCCTGGAGTTGTTTAGGAACGTCCACCGAGTTTAGCTGATTTTGCAGAGCCTCGAATTTCTTTTTCATTAGCGACAGGTCGTTTTCCGCTTTATTCTTTTCATATTTCAGTTTCTCGTGCTCGACCTTTAATTCAGAGATCTTCTTCTCCAAGTTGACGTAGTCTTTCTTTAATTTTTCTTTCTCGTCTTCCAATTTTCGGATTTTATCTTCTAAACGCTGAATCTCGTTATCTTTAGAGACTAGAACTCTCCGAAGGTCTTCAGCATCTCTTTGAGCTTTCTGGCTTTTCTTCTTAATGTCTTTGATTGTGGCCTGCAGATTGATAACCTCGTCTTTCAGACGATCTCGCTCTTCTCGCAATGAATCGGACGGTCCAGCTACTTGTGAAATTTTCACATCTTTATCCCGAAGTTCGAGCTCTAGTTTCATCTTTTCGTTACAGACGGTCTGATATTTTTGTCGATATTCCGAGAGTTTATTTCTTAGATCATTTAGATGATCCTCACTGACCCCAGATCCTGTGTTAACCAAAGTGTTTTTGGCTTTTGATTCCTTTCTCAGTTGCTCACATATTCTTTCAAGTTCGGCATTATTGAATTCGAGAATCTTCTTTTCGTCATTGGCAGCCTTAAGACTCTCTTTAGCCTCCTTGAGTTTCTTGTTAATAGCTTCTTTTTCATCCTTTGCAGACTTTAGCATTCCACCTAGATTTCTTTGAAGGTCTTCCAGCTCTTGATCACGCATTACAATGTCGCCGTGCATTCTCTCCAGTTCCATTTTGTACTCCTCTAGGTCGTCTTCTGTAGATTCCAGCTTGATTTTCATTTCTTCGAGATTTTCTTGCAGTTTAGTAACATTCGTTTGAGTGGAACGAAGATCCTCTTGCAACTTGTTGTTCTCTCTGTCCTTAGTGTTAACATCTTCTCTCAGCTCCTCAATGACTTGCTTTAGGCTATCAGAATCGTTATGGCCACCCTCTATAATGGCATAGAGTTCGTTGATTTTTCTTTGTTTTTCAATAATGTCGTCGTTTTTATCAAGCAATTCACGTTGCTTTTCATCAAGGTCTCGCTTTAACGACTTCACTTTGGCCAATGCAGCAGCTTGCTGTGCCTCTGCAGTACCTAAATCGTCTTGGGCAGCTTGCAAATCATTCTTCAGATGCTTTAGCTCATTTTCTAAGGACTGACACTTATCGTTCACCTGATTTAGTTCCTCTATTGTTTCAGGCAACGACTTTTCTAACTCTTTATTGCGGTCCTCTGTCTCTCTAAGTTTTGTTTCAAGACGATCGTTCTTACCCTCCGCATCTCCCAGCTTGTTTCTGTAGTCGTTAAGCTGGTCGCTCAAAACTGCCTTTTTCATTTTCTTTCTCTTCAGCTTCTCTTTGAGGCCAAGGTTCTCATCTTCAAGGTTGCTGAGTGCGTCTGGATCGGCGCCAAAATCGAACCCTGGTGCTGCTGCATACTGCGTGTCAACGGTTGCCACATTCATAGGTGAAATCTCAATAACGTCGTGCTTCTCTGCGAGTTTCACCTTAAGGTCTGCAATTTCGTCCTCATACTTGTTCTTTGTTTCTTTCAATTCATCTATGTCCTTTTCATCGCGCTGGAGTTCGAGGTTTAATACTTCGATTTTATCCTCTAGATCCTCAATCTTTTTCCTCCTGCTTTCGTTTTCGTTCTTCAGCTGTCTTATCTCGTCTTCTAACTCATCGTTTTCCTTTTCTATATCTTTTCTCCTCGCCTGTGATTCAGCTAACTGAGCCTCGATGTCTTCCAGATTTCTGTTCGCTGAATTGAGCTCTTCTAAAGCTCGATCTCGCTCTCCCTGCATCCGAGTGAGATTTCGTTTTAAGTCAACAAGAGTTGTACGTTTGAGCTCGCTTAACTCTTCTTGCAACCTTGCCTTTTCTTCCTTCAACGTGTCGCAGTTTTCTTGAGTTGATTTCAAATCTGACATTAGGAAATCACACCTCTTCTCCAGATCGGTCTTCTTGTCTTGCAGTCTTTGAAAAGTAGCGTTACGAGCGTCCCTTTCTTTGTCATAAGAATCACATGTCACTCTAAGTCGTACGTGGTCCTCGTCAAGAGTAAGCAACTGTTCTTGTTTGTCCTCCAGATATCGGTGGGCCTGCTCAAGCTGACTCTCTAATGACTTAATTTCATTATCGTCCTCAACGCACTTGCATTCTAAACGTGTTATCTGCGTTCGAGCTTGCCCTAACTCCATTTTTGCGTCCTCTTTCTCTCGATTGGATCTCTCCAGCATCTTTTTGAGTTCTTCTAGCTTTCTTTGTGCTGTATTGTAGCTGTGCTGAACATCTATTTCTCTCTCTTTAGCATCCTTGGCATTTTTCTCTGCTCGTGGAAGACGGTCTTCGTGCAGCCGCAGCTGTTCCCTAAGTTGCTCCTCGCGAGACTCGCTCTTCTTAAGGAGTGTTTCTAATTCATGGACTCTCTCGTCAGGATCGCTACGGAGTCTTTCCTCTCTGAAGCTAACAGGTGGTGCTGACTGCACCACGGACACATTCGCCACAGATTGCATGTTGTTTCCCATCTCCTTAAGTTGGGTTTCGAGCTCTTTGATGCGATTTCTGTTAATTTCGTTTGCACTCTTTAGCGCCTCAATATCTTTTCTGCAGGTAGTGATATTGTCTTTCTGACTGCTGATCGTACGCTTGTCCTCGCTTAGCTTTGCATCTTTCTCTTTCATATCCGACTCCAGACGACTGATAGTGCGATCTTTTTCTTTGAGCTTGTTACGGGTCTGCTCCAGCTCTGGTTTGAGCTTTCTCACCTTTGTCTCCAGTTCATCAACTTGGCTTTGCAAATCTTTTTTTTGCTTAGTAAGCGTCTTGTTATTAGTCTCAGCAACGTTCAACTTGTAAGACAAAGAATCCACATCTTGTTGAAGCAACTCCTTTGCTTCGATTTCTTCTCGCAGTTCCTTTTGAAGATCTTCCATCTTGCGTTTCAGAGCCTTAAAACGAGAGTCCAAGGCTTTGTTTTCAGCTTCTAATGTCTCGTTTTTGGCTACTGCAGCCCTCAGTTGCGGCCTTAAGTTTTCTAACTCCTCTTCCAATTCTTTACACTTTTGACCCAATGTTACCATAGTATCTTCGTGCCTCTTCACAGTCTTTCCAAGAGTTGAGTTCACTTTTATCTGCTCTGAGAGGTTCAGATTTTTGTCGGTGACGTGTTTTTTACTCTGCGTTAGTCTTTCACTGAAATCGCTCAGACTTTCCTTAAGCCTATCCCTCTCAAGTTTTAGGGCGTCAACCTCTTTCTGTAACTTCTCGACTTTGGGTCTTAGATCTTCTAGTTCATCTTTCAGTTCATTGTTAGCATCCGTAAGTTCATCCTCCTCCTTCTCAAGATCCTCCATTCTCTTCTTCATTTCACGCTCTTTTTTTTCCAAGCCAGCGCAAGTAGTTTTGTAGGAATCGAGTTCCCTTTGAAGGCGTGCGATATCATCTTCTCTATTTTTTAGATCGCTTAAGAGATGATCTTCAGCGACCTTTTGCCTTTTGTTTTCATTTTCGAGTTCATATATCCTCTGACGGAGCGGTGTTAGATGGCTTTCAAAGTCAATTGGGGGCAAGCTGATCGAAACTGAATTTTCGTCCTGCTTATTCTTATCATTGCCTCGTTTTGGTTCCATGTGTTTGAGCTTTTCAAGAACACCTGCTAGTTCCACCTCGGCATTGTCCCTTTCTTTAGTTACCTTCTCTAGCTGAGCGTCAAGTATGTTTACTTCTTTCTCTGTGTCCTCAAGCTTCTTCTTCAGGTGTTTTATATCGTCATCCTTGTAATCGCATTCTGCTCTTGCTGCCGACAGGTCTGACTGACTGTTGTCGTAGTTTGATTTCAGGTCTGCCAATTTATCGCAGAGCTCATCAATCCTACTGTTTTTCTCCGCCAGTTCTTTTTTGTATTCTTCTGCTTCCTCCTGGGCTTCTGCCAGCTTCTTTCTAAGATTTTCAACCATCTTTCGTTGTTTGCTCGTCTTATCCGACCAATCTTGAACTTGACTCTCGAACACTGTCTTATCCTTGACGGTCAAATCAAAGTCATCTTCTAGTCGTGTTAGCTTTTGCTTGAGGTCTTCATTTTCTTTAAGAAGATCGCCTTTCTCTTGGTCCGACTGCTCAAGCTTTCTCTCTAGCTCAGAAATCTTTCGACTCACGACGTCAAGATCCTTCTGCACACTTTCTTTCTCTTTTTCACTGACTTTATAATCGCTATCAAGATCACCATACTTCTTCTTGTATTCCATGGTGATCTCTTCCATAAGTTCCATGTTACTTCTCAGCTCCTCCAGCTTCGCCTCAAGTTTGTCAATAGTCTCCTCGTTTTGGTCTCTCTCATTCTGTAAGTGCTTGATTTTTTCCTTGAGTTCCTCTATCGTCCTGTCTCTCTTATCTATCTCCTTTTTACCCTGCTCCATCATCCTTTCGGCTTTGGCCAGATGGCTCTTGAGATCATTGTAGTCGTTCCAAAGCCGTCCATAATTTTCCTTCTCGTTATCAAGCACAGCTGAAATCTTAATCTTCTCCTGATTCTCGTCTTCATACTTTTTTTCCCACTTTTTTACTTCTTGAGAAGCTTTATCCAGTTTAACCTTAAGGTCGTGGATTTCTCCTGTGTAAAAACAACAATTTATTTCCATTCATTCATTCATTTGTTCAACAATAACACAATTTTTAGTTCATTCAATCTCGCTGGTGTGTTATTACTTAACCAATTCAGGTTCCTGACAAATTGACACCACTTTTATATTTACTATGCCTAAACCTATTATTTCTGATGATTTTTATGCCATTTCCTGAAGATCCAAGTGAAACAATAAAACTTATGAATCATATAATCAAGTTACTTTCACAGTTCCCGCAGCAATAAGTTTTCGGCTGAAATTGGAGCCCGAAATCGCCGAGACATTAGGTCTATGGGAAATGATCAATGCTCTATAATGTCGCCTTTGCAAATACCCAGTTAGAAGTTGCTTAACAATCGATTTACACGGTTGCCTTGCTGTCTTTAAAGAGAGGTGCCGTATTTGATCACTTGCTGATAGTTTTTTAGTCCATTTAATATATTTTTAGGTCGCGGGTCACTATTTGAGAAGTCTTAAATCAAAATCTTTCGCGCCAAATTTTGTAACACTCTAGTCATTTTGATTGTACATCTGCAAAGCTCTGGACACGTTTAGACATAATTTTTAGAAGAGCCATTTTAACTTGCTGGCGGTGTTATGCTCTCCAAATGTTTTATTGCCCCTTTCTCTACGAGGTTGAATTATTTCCCCCAGAAATAGAGCTTTTTTTGTGCAAAATTGTTGGTCACCCACTTTACCAGCAGCTCAAGGAATTTTGTACGCAACAATGTTTCTTTGTTTCACACCCGGGGAGGTACTGAACAAAGTTTTATACGGAAAGACTCCGCCCTGATGTACAGCCCCTTTCCCTCTAACAAAAAAAAGAACCCCTTTCGTATACCTTCTATTTCAGCAATAGAAAACGTTTTCTGTGTTTGCATAGCCCTGATATAAACACGAGAGGGGTTGGGAGAATTCGAGAAAGTTATGCGAGCCCGAGACGAAGTCGAGAGCTTGCATAACTGTCGAGAATTTTCACCATCCCTCGGGTATTATATCAGGCTATGCAAGTACGGGAAAAAAGTTTTCTATTGCTTTTATAAAATAACTTTCCCAAAAAAAAACGCAAACGGTACAGCAAACACGCCTCTCGGCCAATCAGAGCGCGCGTACTATTTTAGTTATTTTATGATTATGCAATAGAAAACATTTTCCTGTGTTTGCATAGCCTGATTTAAACACTCGAGGGGGTGGGAGAATTCGAGACAGTTATGCAAACCCTCGACTTCGTCTCGGGTTTGCCTAACTCTGGAGAATTCTCCCATGCCCTAAAGTGTTTATATCAGGCTATGCAAACACAGGAAAAGAGTTTTCTATTGTTTTTATAAAATAACTTTCCCGAGGAAAAAACGCAAAACTCTTTGTTATGACACTGATCAAAAGAAAATTCTTGCCAGTCGCAAAGTCTTCAGAGTCTTGTACACGAAGTCTTGCACGCTTAATTAGTCTTTTTCTCGTTAAAAATGTCAGCTTAAGCGAAAAAAGAGTAGACACATCTTGTTTGCAACAATTTTCCAAGTTTCAGCCGACGAGGAAATGGGTAAATAAAGTAAACTTGTCGATTTTTTATCTCAAAAAGTTTTTTAAATTCGTACACTCCTCTCGGCCAATCAGAACGCGCGTACTATCTTAGTTATTTTATAATGACGACTAGTTTAGAACTTTGCATCCCTTTCAACTGCTCTAAACGCACTGCCTTTTAAACATAAATCAAACACAAAACCAGAACGTTTTCCCGACTTTTTAAGGCCGTAAAATTCAGCTGTTAGCCCTTTTGGGCCTTTTTACGGACCAAGATGACAGATTTCGCGACCCTTTCATGTACTTCAACGCCTGAAAATGGTACCCCGTTCTGGCGGAGCCTCCCCGTATAGGTAATTATAGGGAGTACCCCCCCCCCTGGTTTTTCAGTCAGGTTGGAATTATGTTGCATTTGCAAAGTGAAAGCCTCCTGTACTTTCTCCTGTACTTTCTGCAAAAAGCTGCCGCAACTGAATTGTTGCGCAGCAAGCTGAGCGCGTACGGGTAAAATGAGCAACCAAAACCGTGACATTGCCCATATAAGTGCACTTTAATGAATAAGACCCTGTATGAAACAATCAGAGTTAACTTGTACGATAGGCGCTATGTGAACCGCCAATACTTACCGTTCAGTTCTTCCACTTTATTGTTCAGTTCTCCCACTTTAATCCTCAGCTTCTCGCTCTCATCATCTACAAAAAAATCAAACCCGCCGGGCGGACCAGATTCCACAACCGGGGCACTCTCCACAACATCGATGTTATACGTTTTTAGCTCTGGTTCAGCCAACCGTCTGTTCAACTCGTTCTCCAACTCTTTAATCCTGTCTTGCGCCGAAAGCAAATCAGAATCCAGCTTATTATTCTTGTCTCTCAGCGTTTTCTCTGAGTCTTTCAGAGAAGATATCTGATCTTCAGCCTTGTCTCGGGCAACTTCAGCAGCTCTGATGTCGCGTTCTGCCTTAGCTATGCCCTCCAGTAATTCTTTCTTTTCCTTTCGCAACTTCTCAATGCACACTTCGTCAACATGGTGTTGGTCTTCAGCTTTGTTGAGCTCAACTGAAAGCTCGCCGCTCTTTTGCTGTACCACCTCCAGATTTGCTTCGGTTTTGTTAAGCTTCTGTCTTAGATCTGGCACAACCTAAATAACGAAACAAAAGCGTAAAAATTATCATGAGATGAATTCAATGCTGACATGCTCGGAGCCATAAGAAAAGATGGCTCTTGGGGAGGGAGGGAGAAAGTGGGGCCAATTCAGGACAGGTGTGTGATACGATTCTTACACTGAGATTCAAGTTACCCGTCGAAGCTGTCTAATTCTCAGTAGGAAGTCCAAGGTGTATGAGACTTTCTAGAGAGAATTTCTAGCGACGGTTTACAAAATGTTTCCTAAGAAGCATCAATCTATAAATTTCTGTTCTTTCTGGCCGACAAAGTATCCCTCTAGAATTCTTCTGAGGCACCCACACTAGCAGCAAAACAAAAGTTTAAAAGTTTGTTCATGTGATTTTTAGGTGAGGAGTAGCGTTTCAAGAATTGCGTTGCATAACAAAGAGTTTGTTGTTCTCCTTTAGTGCGAGAAGGTGTGTTACTGAACATGCTGATTAAAAGTCTCGGAAATTAGCGACTCTGTGGATACGGCAGCTTGGCCGAGTGGTGAGCGCGTACGACAGTCATCGTCCGGGTTCGAGTCCCGCTCGAGCCACTTGCTGGCTTTGTTTTCGGTCGGCCTTTGCGTTTCGGGTCACGTGGTCCCAGCGAGTTTTCGTCTCGGATACGTCACCGAAATGCCGTGACCGAGAAGGCCTGGGAAGACGCCGTACAGGGACTAGGTAAGGTCGTCACCAAGTATGAATCCCAGATCACGCGTTGTAAATACAGTAGCTAACTAATTGCCACCTGCTAGTTTTGGGTTGTAGGTCGGTTATTTAAAGGACGTTGTGGATTATTTTAACAGGAGAAATGCTTTTCTAGTCTACGTTATATGCTTTCATGAAACAGTTCACGATAAATGTTGTTGACATGGAAGCGTTCAGCAAACTGAAAATGACTTAAAACATGGTTTTGTTAAACACTGCCTAAACTCCTTTTAAATAACTGGCCCACAGTATTTATTCACAACTGCACATTGTAAACCTCATTTCCAAGGTCCATGAAGACAATTACAATCTGCACTTTTCATAAATCTGTTTTTGTTGTAGGAATTACAGTAATACTTTTATTTGTAATTACAGTTTGGTATAGTTTTTTCTTGTGATATCAAAGACAATTGGGAATCTCGAACTAAACCTCCCTGGTTAAAATCTTTATCATAATGTACCTGAAACCCAGATTTGATTTTGCTTGGCTAACCAGATTCTTATATTTTTGGTTATTAACGTAAAGTGCCAAATTTCTGCTAGAAGGTTTCTGTTAGCGGATGTTTACTGTAGTCAAAGAAATTCCCTCCAAGTTTTAGGCGAAGTCAGTGCAATTTTGATCAAATCATTGTCACTAGGTATTCATATGAATTAAAATACCTATCTAGTTATTTAAACAGAGACGCAGTACTCAACAAAAGATCAATATAATGCCGAAAGAGTTCAAACTGGAATCTATCGGAGTTAATGGAGAATATATGTAATTTCTAAGTCGATTAGGTAATGATTCTTAACCTCAAGGACAAAGGTTCGAAAACGGCTTTGCTTTTTAAAGTTCAAGCTAACAGACTGAGTCACAAAGGTTGAATTGCCTTCCATTTAACGTTAGGCAAAGAAACCGAGTGAAACATGAAGTTCTAAACAAAAAAACTCACTTATCTGGGTGTCTGCTCTTACCTCTCTCTCTTCAGTGAGACGTTTATAAAAATTTAAGACGAAATATTGATGAAAATTGTAGAAAAACTCGGCAAGGCGAGGTTCGAACGAAAACGTGCTTATTCCATTGCAATTTGATTGCATTGCGACCAGTTTCAAGGGATGACTGATGATAAAACAATAAAGCTATGGTTGTTTTTTTGTTTTATGTTAACAATAAGCGCTTAAAACGCGGTGTCTGATGAATGCGTATATTACCGAGGAGGGTTATACCAAAGGAATTAGGTGTATTAAGAAAACATTTGCGTACGCCGAATATAAATGATAATATTTTTTAATGCAACCGGTTTCCTACAATGTTGAAAAAAGGTTTGAAATTTCTAGGACGCGTTTTATTAGGCAGGCGGAAACCCAGGCAGGCTAAACAAGTCCAGTTGTAAGCAGAAGCCATTGTTATTCACAATTGTGCAGCCAGATTAGTCTAACTAATTCGGCGGAGCACGAAGTTAAGGATTTGCTCAGCTCAGGAATGTTCCAAAGTTGTATACGGATGTCCCGAAGTTGCTTCGGAATTAGTTTGTTCTTTCAGGGAAAGAAATAATTATGAATAAGTATTACTTCTGGAAGAAATAAAAAATAAATAATAATTATTTCTGGCTTGCCCAGGATTTGAACCGTCTTGTGTGTGACCCGTCGTATCAGACTCTAAATTGAGGGATTAGTCGATTGTGCCACTGCGACGCAAGGTAATTTTTTTCGACGAATTTGCGAACACGAAGATAGAAACATATCTGTTTTCTCTTTTACCCACCCCAAGCCACTTGCGTTAGTTGTAAATGAATCCCCCTCGGTTTTTCATTTTCATTCGCGCGCTCAACGAGTTCTGTTAAGAGGAAATAGAGGGTTGGTCAAGGCTATTCCCTTCCTTCTTCACACTAAAACAACGCAAGCTTAAGGTGTGAAGATGCGTCCTTACCTTGTTCTGAAGATCATTGATGATGTTTTCCAGCTTCTCGCATTGCTTGGTCTTTGACTGAAGTTCCTCCTTCCGCGCGTCTGATTTCTTTTCCGTATCAACCAGCACCCTCTGCAAATCTCCGACCTAGAGATTGAAACAAGATTAATAACGGTAATTGAAATGAATGGGGTGCAATTTAATGTAAAATCGTATGCGTTATTTCAAATTTTAAATCACAAGTATGATTTCAGACCAAAATTGCACGACACGAAGTTCAATTACCACTTTATTTTAGCTATTTCGAAATCGCAGAATTTAGTCAGTACCAATATTTTATCGTTCAAGTAGCCAATTTGTTGAAAAGTCGAAACAAAAAGGCTTTTGCATCGCATTTTGTATTCGAAACTGAAACGATGCGATAGAGAGCAAAAATGGAACATGATTTACACGGTTTAGAACAGATATGATTTATAGGAAAAAAATAGTATGATTCGTGAATAAATCACACTGCTAAGAGCCAATCAGATTGCGAGGATCACCAATGATTTCAAAACGGATAAAATAAAGTATTTTAATCTGACTTATAAGGGCTGGTTTATGACTACGAAGCTCCCCTGCAAATACAGCTCGACTGAATAACCTTTATTTTAAGAGGGTGACACCAATTACTATGAAAAGTATTCTTCATAGTAGCCCTTTCATCGTGAAGACGTTACCCGAAGCTCCCACCTCCCACCCCACCCCACCCCACCCCCCCAAGGGCAGCGACTAGAAGCGATAAGAGAGTCATAAGAGGCGGCTGTACTTGACAGCTAGTACACACTTTCTCTTCCGCAGCGGCCTCTTTTAGTTGTTAGGGGGTTGGGGAGCGGGAACAAATAAGTCGCTCAGGGGAGGATAGTTAGGGGGAAGAATAGCCTCCCACGCAGACGTTCTTAGGGGTTCGTCACGCGCTCCTGCCCTGAACGCGTGACGAACCCCTAAGAACGTCTGCTTGGGAGGCTAGGGGAAGAGAAGAAGAGCCTCTTCTCTCTTTCGATCGAGAGTTCCCAACATTATATTAAACGTCAGTAAATTTTGAAGATCCAATTTCAGCACCACGGTAACAATTTAGTCCTGATGGCTAAACGTAGGATTAGATTGTGGAGCCACTTAGATGGCTAAAAAAGCCGTATAAATAACTTTTCTATCCTCACCCTGTGACCAGTAGCCTGCGAGCAAGCTCTCCATTTGGGGGAGTTGCGAGAACGCACGCGAGAGAAGCACGCGAAAGGAGACGAGAGTGCCAGGGGCTTCGCTCTCCATCAATGGAAAGCTTTCTAGCAAGCTATGTGACCAGCAGAGAATAATAGCCTTCTTTCTTGCAGTGACTTATTTCAGCTTGTGGGTTCATATCTCGTCTTAAAATTATTTGTATTGCTATTGTTGATAGTTAACAGTACAATGTATGCCCGGAGGTACTCAGCAAAGCTTTATACGGGGAGACTTCGCCCCGAGATCCACCCCTTTACCCTTTTATATACCATTTTGGGCCGAAAATGCAGTCCTTTCCCATACCTTTTTTTGACAAATAAGACCCCTTTCACATACCTAGTTTAGAACTTAGTATCCCTTTAAACTGCTGTAACTGCAATGTCTTTAAAAATGTCAATAAACCAAAAAACCAGAACATTGTTTCAACTTTTTCACAGCCGTGAATGCACCTATTAGCTCTTTTGGTTTTTTTTTTAAAGACTGAAATGACAGATTTTCTTAACCTTTCGTATACTTCAGCTGGTAAAATCCCTACCCTTTCATATACCCGAAGCCTGAAAAAAGTACCCTTTTCCGGTAAAGCCTCCCTCTATAGATCATTATAGGGACCTCGGGGTATGAAGTCTTACCGAAATAATTTCGCTTGCATTAAATGAGAATTTCTTCACAAATCTGAGGCGGGGTGGGGGGGGGGGGGGGGAAGGCAATTTCTTCGGGGTGGCGACTCGTGTTTGTTCGTCTTCACGAAACCCCCCCCGGGTAATGCTTCTCTTCACTTCTCTTTTTTCTGATTTTTTCTCTGTTTCTGTTTCTGTGTTAAACTACGCGTCTCTCATCTCTTATTTCGCGACCCCTATTTCACCTAGGAATTATCTACGCTAAGGCGCCCCCCCGCGCCTCCCGCCCCCCCTGCGCTCCCCCGTGCTGCTTCTTAATATCCACCCCCCCCCCGCGCTCCGCGGCCCACAAACAATAATTTGCTTGCCTGCTCGGCTAGCGTGCTTGTGTTTTGATTGTTTTGGGGCCGTTGGGGTGTGTATTCGTATAAAAAGGGGTGGTGTTGAGGGAAAGGGGTGAGTGGTGGGGGGTGGGGGGGGGGGGGGGGGGGGGGGGGGGGAAGGTACCCTCTTCGGGCGGAGCCTCCCGTATAGGCCATTATGATGACCACCCTCCCGGGAATTTATGCATACCTTGCTGCTCTTTTCTCGAAGCTCTTTGCGTAGTTTTTCGTTTTGAGCATTAAGATCATCCTTCTGCTTCACCAGACCAGTCTTTTCTCTGTTAAACTTCTCCTCGTTTAACTCCATGTGCCTCTTAACTTTCACATTTTCTTTCTGCGTATCCTGGTACTTTCCTTCCACAATTTCGTAGTTAACTTTCATTTGTTGGTAATCATCAAGCAACCTTTGATATTCCTCCGAAAGTTCTTGGTTTTTCTCCGTAACCAGAGCGATGCTTCCTGGCTCATCCTGCATAACTGTTGAGGTGCGGGGATCGTCTTTTAGGGGGGGAGCCCTTTGAGAGCTTCTTCGCGGCCAAGACATGGCGATGGCCCTTCTTTACTTTCGAATTAAAGCACACCTATGTCGATTAAAACGAAATGAAACGTTATTGTTGAATACACTAAAGTAGAAATTGGCTTAAACAAGATCAAAGTAAAATTCGAGAATCAATCCTTTTCTGCCGTATTTACTTGGCTTCAAGTATAATTTTAAGATTTCAGATGAATTGTCTCTAGGCATGATGAAGCATTAAGCAGGTTTAGGAACATAGATTAAGGGCCTGTTTACATGGAGGTGGGGGACCCTAGGTAGGTGAGGTAACCCGCTTGGGTGGGGTAACCCGCATGTCCATATAATCTCTCATTTTAATTTGATCACGTTTACATGATAGATGGGGTGACCCGCCAAGGCGGGTAGCCCGGTCTACCAGACCGGGTTACGCTCTCAGCCGGGGTCAAATTTTGCCATGTAAACGTTTCAAGGTGGGGTAACCCGCCTGGCCGGGGTACATCAAATTCGCGCAAAATTCACTTTGGCGGTGGCTTTGCATCATTATGAAAGTTAACAATAGAAAGCCATTGCACTGACGGGTTGCAGCAAGAGCAACAAGTGAGTGAAGAAGTGCATTAATCGCCAAAACACGTGGTTTGCCAGCATTTTTCTTGTTTACGTGCCTAGCGACCATTCAATAATCTTGAGAAAGTGCACCCCGGGATGGCGGGGTTGTAAGATTGCATGTAAAGGAGGGTTATTTTTTTACCTCACCTAAGCAGGTTACCTCACCTACTTGGGGTCCCCCACCTCCATGTAAACAGGCCCTAAATTATCGTGATTTTCTAACATAACTATTCACAGTTCAATAAGGTGACGTGTTTTGAGCTATTCTTTTGTTCTTAACGCTCCGTGAATATTTTATCAGACAGATTCAGCAAAGGCTACGCACTGCCGCTCAAAGCAAGATACAATTGTCTTCGAATACATCTCCTTTTTATGCATAAGTCGACGAAAGGTTTCGCAGTATTCGTTTTCTTCAATCAAGAGAAATATCTTGCCTCTTTTTTCCAGGCAAAGATTAATCGAGAATTCATTCCATCAGCGTAATTCATAAGTTAACGTTTCAGTAATTAATGCAAAAATGCCCTGAATCTGCTATGCTAATCCTTTAAAGTTGACTTGTTTATAAAATAATAGACATTCGCCCACAGCCATCCAAGTTTTTTTTTGTGCTTAATTGCTCAGGCCATCGCCAAATGTTTCATAAAGTTTTGCAGACTCTGTGTAGAAAATTTTAAACATGGTGATCTCATAAAGTATGCCATGCTCGAAAGATTCTTGTTCTAGAAGAAATCATATTTCATGGTATTGTTAGCCAGAGTTCCAGAGAGTTTAAAACATTTGCGGAACTCTTTTTAATTTCCCCTTCGAATAATGAGGTGTTGCCATCTTGAGAAAGACACGGTGATCTTTTCGAAACGTCAAGAACAGTTTCACCTAGCTACAAGGTAAATTCATTTTTGCATTATGGATCCGGAGACTTATAACTTTCATGGACAAGATGAAAGCACAAGAGAGAATACATGTACTGATTATTCTAACTCGGTCGAGTAAATTAAATTCATTTTTTTCTTTTTGTATTTTAATGAATTTAACAAAACAAAAATTCATTAAATTCATTTTTGCTTTATGGATCAGCTGACATTCCTTTATGCACTAGATGAATGCACAAGAGAGAATACTGATTATTTTAACTTGGTCGAATATATTAAGAAAATAAAGCGAGCCGATTTTCATGTCGAAAACACTCCTGGTTGTTTGCCAAGTTTCGTGATCGTTTTCAGCGAAGCAAAACGGTCCCTTGATTTGGTCTAACCTTAATTGCGCTGAATTAATCTATGGGGGTTATCTATGTCCTTCTAGAGAAAAAAGTTTTGAGTTTTCTTTGTTTGTTCCTCGTTTTTGTTCTTTCCTAGTTCAAATGCCGCTTTGTATCCTCCTTGATTAGGAAAGTGGTCGCTCCTTTTTCGAGTTGTTCTTTTGCGCCACGTTAACATATGCAAATATGCTATTTAAAGTGGGCTTATTACGATAATTGGTTTTGCCATTAATTGTTTTTCACTTTAAGAAACATCTTCCAGGATTAAAAGCAAAAAACATCTGAATCTTGTCGTAATGCGAAATATTGCTTTGACATGTTTTTAATCTGTTACCGTTTTTATACAATTAATTTTCTCTTGTAGCGTGAAAGGTTTCCATACCGATAACAATAGACAATGACTCACACACCCTCTGCTTAACCAACGCTCGAATAAATTTGTATAGTTCAGGTAGTTCCAAGGTTCGCTTCAATTTCTATGGGCCAGTATGGTTTACGTGAGAATTTTTTTCCTTCCAAATTTCTGGTGATAGAATTCTTTTCCTTGATATACAAAGCCATTTTATCTCAGGTATTTCCTGCACGATATTTTTTTTCTGAAATCAACCTTACGCCCCCTTTCAAAAGTCAAATGTTTAGCCCCTAATTATGGTTGTCCCATACAAAATGATCAAAAAGCGACTAAACACCGCTTTACTAACTGACTTTATTAGCTTTGATTTACTGATAAAGTGGCAACAAAGCATACATTTTAAATTGTCTTTCCCACCGACTTCTTTAATAGCTTGAAACTTTGAAATTCATTATACATGTCATCAGAAGCGCATTCTTCAATAACTTTTGTACTATACTCGTGAACTTCAACCTAAATTTTTTCAAAACCAACATTTCGCTTCTCGAGAACATCCAGTGCAAAGCTTTGATAGGGTTCGAGTATTAATGGAGGTTTTCCGGAACGTTCACCCAAAATATTACAAATGTTACTACAAGGTATACAGGTATTCTTGCATATTCAAATGGATAAAAGTTTTTCGACTCTCTACGGGGTTGGGCAATAATAACTATTAGAACCACTCAACAATTCTGTTTACTCAGCGAATTCTTGACTTTTCGCGAGAGCTTTTGTAAATATTAGCCAAGCCTAGTAGTTTAGATGTGCTTTTCGCTGATATCGACCTTTATTTGTTCAAATAAACCAAATCAGCTCAAATGTAAACAAACTTAAAATACACTCAAAGTCAAATATCGCTAGATAAACACGTATCGTATCAGTCTTGACATGAAATCGATCGGTCGATATTATTGGCAACTTTTGCGGTTTGTACTTTCAGTTCAAATTATTTGCGGGAATTATGTGACAAAACGACATTCTGTTCAACTTGTCATGTTATCAGTTATCAGGAAAATTGGCTTTAGATTCCATTAACTCTTCAATGTCACTTCCAAAATTACAGACATTAGACATGGCATCAATTCCAAAACACAAAGTTTCGTTTTCTTCGGGAGCATTAGTAGAGCACTAGTATATCATTACCCACAAATTCCGAGCTAATAAATAAAATTTGGCGCAAGCTGTAAGATCATTAACCACCGCCCTCTTATATCGGTTTATTTGCTACAAAATTTTAAAAGGCTTCCAGAGAAACTGATGGAACATTTTAAAACACTTACCCAAAAGCGATAGTTTTCACCCAACGTGCAACCAATAGTCGTGCAATCTCGGGATTGAAATCTGTTCACTTGAAAATCGGGTAGAGTCGAGCTGCTGTCAAGCCTGTTAACGCACTCAACACAAGCTGCAAACTCGGAAACGGTCGAAAGAGTGTCGCAATGAATATGCCATCGCGTTTCGCAACAGAGATTTCGGACAAAGCAGTTCTAGGATCACAAAAGGGGTTCCAGAAAGATTTCGTTTAAAACCCAATCAAACTCATTGTGTCACACACAGCCTTTAGGGAGACCAAATATGTCGAGAATTTTCCTACCCTCAGAGTTTTTGTTAAGAGTGAGAAGAAGCTCAATTAATATTAAATGCCAGATCCTCAATAAACCAACTTAAATCTCTAGCGAAAAAAAAAAGTTGATTCTAGCCAAGACAAGAAGAAAGAAACACAGCAGCAGTTCGAAACTAAGTACAAGTTGATTAAACGCGAACAAACTTTTCAGTACTCGGCTATTTAATGTTTGTCCTGTTGTTATGCAAATCAAAACGAGATTACTCTGTTATCGGCAGTGATTGTTAAAAATTTCAACACCCCTCTCTGAAATAATAACGGGATAACAAAATCGTTTTAATTTTCAAGTCCACTGAAAATAGTCGAAACATACGTCCCTGGGAATATTCAATGCTGTGTGTACTATGCAGAAAACCTCAACTATCTTCCAATTGTTGCTCTAGTTGTACCGTATGTTGGCTATTTGCTTTTATTTGTAGCACACTGTCTCATCTACCTTCGAGACTCTTCTCGATTTTTGGTAACAAGAGCGTTTAGTATCTTCACCCATGTTTGGAGGACATCTGATCAACGAGTTTTCGTTTAAGAAAACAGTATCAAATAAGTTGCGTTCACTGAATCAATATTTTTCCTCTTTGGAAATCACTAGACCAATCATAAATACGCAAGTGTTTAAAAGCCTAAACCTATCCCTTGGGTCTTATATTGTTCGCTCTTTATTCTACTGCGTATCACAAAATAAATAATAACCCACTTTTTGAGCTCAATCGCTTTTTGTCTTATAAGCATCATTAGAAGGCATGCGAATCAAGCTTGTCCGGAATTTTATGGGCTCACTTAGTTCTTTGTCGATAATTCGGCGGATGTTCTAATTTTACTCACACTGGGAAAAAGACATAACAACGAAGTTTTCTGACATTCTCGTAACAGCGAGTACAATAAAGCGGTCTTCAAACATCCCTTGTCATCGGAAAAATAATTTTAAACATCCTGATGCTTAGAGGTTTGAAACAGCTCCCATGTGAGAATTATGATCATAAAAAAACGAAAGCGCATCCGTTAAGAAATTAGCTTGCCTTGCAGGCGGTAACCCTTTAAACCCTAAGATCAAAATTTGAATTCTCATTTGTTGCCTCTATTCATTTCCTACAGAAGTAGTGTGGAGAGGTTGATAAAATATCAAGCAAATTCATCTTGTGTGATCATGATCGTAA